GGTCATTTGTGCTGCTGTACCCAACCTATACTCCCTCACCAGTATTAGGACTAGGTATTATTTAAGTTTCTTAGTCCCTGTCAATTTATAGGCCAAAAAAAAAAAAGGTATTTTGATCATTCCTTTGTAAAATTAGATTTGACATGTGAGTTTTACTTGGACTGTTACTTAGAGAGGGATTACTCAGGTACTGTGTGGATTCCTGCTCAGCCACAGTAAAGCCCCTGATGGCCAGGTGTGGTGGCTTATGCCTGTAGTGCCAGCAGTTTGGGAGGCTGAGGTGGGAGGATCACTTGGGGTCAGGAGTTTGAGACCAGCTTGGTCAACACCAGAAAGATCACCTATATATCTGTCTAACAAGGGTACAAGTGAACTTTTCTGGGACTAGAATATAAATGTTTTGACACAATGACTGCAAATGACATGAAATTTATGTGAACCAGCTTGATGAAAGTATCTCAAAATGTATATGAAAACACTACACTGTACCCCATGTTTGCATTAATGTATACAGCTATCATTTAATAATAAAAAAAAGACTCTGTCTCTACAAAAAAAAAAAATTTAAAAATTAGCCAGGTATGGTGGTATCCACCTGTAATCCCAGCTACTTGAGAGGTTGAAGCAAGAGGATCATTGGAGCCCAGGAATTTGAGGTTGTAATGAGCTTTGATTTCACCACTGCACTTTAGCCTGGGCAAGAGTGAGACCCTATCTCAAAAAATATTAACTAATTAGTAAAAGCCCTCTGATATCACCTGTCTGACCTTTTCTGTAGAGCCAAGTTCCCTCCAGAGAGGTAGCTGACTATGGGGACAAAAACCTGCCTCTGAGATGGACTCAACCTCAAGTCCTCCTACCTGCATCTCCCTGTCTCAGGTATGGTTATAGCCAGGCGTCTTTCAAGTGGACATTTCCCACTCCATCCATGTGTGACCCAGGTGCCCCAGCTCTCAGAATCTCCCTCACTGGAATATACTTTTTCAGTTTGTCAGCAAATATATTCATTTATCAAATACATGTATTGAGTACCAGACACTGTTCTGGGCTCTGGGGATTCAGTGATGAATAAGACAGGCAAAGTCTCCATCTTCTTGGATCTGACTTGCTCATTAGAAATGCAAACATAGCAGGGAGATGGGAGAAGGGAGGGGGACTGGTGTGCTGTTACCTAATGGGCACAACGTAAAAGCATATGGCGCACTGCCTGGTTGAAGGGCTCAACTACAACCTGGACCTTACCTAACAAACACAAACAATGTAACCTCATCATTTGTACCCTCGTGTTAATCTGAAATTTTAAAACAAGCAAACAAATAAAAAAAATACAGACATTGATCAGGTGGTTGCACTGATAAATACAGAGTGGTAACAGTAGAATGCATGGGAGACCTGCTGCCCCTTCTAACACAATCTGTGATCTCCAAAAGAAGGATGATAACTATAACCACAGAACCAGGCACTGTTAATATTTTTCACAGTTGGATTTACTTAATTCTCTGAATAACTGTATCGAACAGGTAATGTCATTATCATCTTTACTTTGGGATGAGAGGTTTACAGCCCCTGAGAAGTTAAATACCTTGTCTCAACTCACATGGCTTGTACAGATGATGCTTCCATTCTTGGTTGAGCAGCCTACTTTTCTGCAGCCCGTTAAATTTCAAAATGTGCCACAGTCCCATGAGAATAAGATGGAAGGAAGCGTGTTTATTCCCAGCAAGTAGGACTTAGGTTAGACACTAGGAAGGACTCCCTGGCAACATTTAAAAGTGTTTCTGAGAATTTACTTCTCCCCTGGATTTTTTACATTACATAAGTTACATTGTAAAAATAGAGGAATTATTCCAGAAAAAAATCACTCATCATTCCACTTTGTGAATTGTGTTCCTTTTTTCATCTTTCCAGGCCAGATTGAGACTGTATTAAACAGTTGGCGTGAGAAGGAAAGGAACTAGATTTGGTTTTGCTCCTGGCAGCATAAAGGCAAGGACATATAACTAGCAGAGCTCAGCCCCTGTCCCTAGGCTTCGAGCATCCAGAATGATTCCAGGACACCCAGAGATGAAGCTAGCTCTTCCACAGGGTATGGGCACTGCTGTGGGCTGCAGCAGAGACAGCAGTTCCTGTCCTGTTATTCTCGGCCACTCAGGGTGAAGTGGGGGCAGAGGTGAGGCACTGAGGGATTACCTCCTATTTCAGATGAAAGTAACTCAAAGCAGCTTGTCATCCATGTACCCTGGAGCAAATGGGGAAGGGAGAAGAGTACGCAGTGAGTAAATATCAGGCAGAGTCAGCAGAATGATTGAAAGGGCTTTCAGGTTATCCCTGGGTAGGATCTTGAGGCCCCAGCTGCCTCACCCCACTCCCATTTTGATCAGCTCAAAGTCATGGGATAGAGGTGCAGGAGGCTGAGGGCACCAGCTCCTCAGGCATTTGGGACATCCCAGCCTGTTCTGGGAAGATCCATTAGTGTCCCTCCCAAGGATTTCCTTTAGGCCTAACAAAATATATTCCCTGTATAAAATACTTTAAACATTGCATGGTATTTTCTTCAGAATCTCTCCTTCTTAATTTGAGTCTCACATTCACCTTACAGACATTTAGAACAGGTATTATCCTCATATTTACATTTAGATTACATTTGAAATCACACAGTAGCAAATGCAGCCTGGTGCTAACTGAGGTCTTCTGATCTCTTAAGCCCCAGCCACTTTCTCTTGGTGTCCTCAGAGCACCTTCTGAATCTGTCTCAAACTTGCCACCACCTTAGCATGGAAACCCTGGACGACTTCTCATTCCCATAGTTTGGAAAGTTTAAGAGCCTGCCCATTCCCCTGTGATTCTGGGGGCCCACAGCAAGCCCATCTGTGTTCCTGGTGGAAAGCCCACCCCCTCAGGCTTGCTCAGAGGCACTGGGACCAAGAACTTGTACAATGCCCCGATAAGCTTCTTAGAGAAGGCGGGTATTAGCCAGGATCAGATATTCCTCCCCTGAGATGCCCTTCACACCCGACCCTGCCTTGAATTAGGATTCCATAAGGGAATTGGGGGCAGGAGAATGGGGTGTTCCCTGCTGTCCAGCTTCAGACCCACTTTTTGAGACCCTGGATTCTGACAAGTTCCCAGAACTGAAGAGGCACCCAGATGTCGAGGTTTGGAGGTAAATGGTGTGATTAGGTAGACGGGATCAGCTGGGGTGCCAGCTCGGCACTGTTACATAATGTGCGCACACCAGGAAGAAAGAAACTGCCTCACGTTCTGTAGGAGATGCAAGTGGGCTTGCTGTGAAATGTTAGAGTTTATGGCAAGGGACAGCAGGATTGCAGGGAGATAGTGGATAGAAAATCATAGAAATCAAGGACAAAGTTTGCTTCTCCCTCTTCTGTTTTTTAAGACAATTGCACTTGCATCTCTAATTAATGTGGAGTGCTAGAAAAATGGGGAATTAGGAGATTCATCTGCTCAACCACTCACCAGCTGTGTGATGTTAAGCAAGTCACATCTCCTCGCTGGACCTCAGTGTCCTCATGTCTCACATGAGCATGGTTATAATGTACCAGACATTGTCTGTGGGTTACTCAGCTCACTTTTAGTATATTACTATTATATAGAAAGCCAATCATTTTAGTTATTGTTTTGTAATGATCTGTGGACATTGATTAGACATTTTTTTTTTTTTTTTTTTTTTTTGGCCAGGGCCAGGTTTGAACCTACCACTCCAATATATGAAGCTGGTGCCCTATTCCTTGAGCCACAGGTGCCGCCCCTAGACATTTAAGAAATATTTACTTGGCTGGGCCTCAATATCCTTCTTTCTAAAACAAAGATACTTTGAGGGCCGCTCATGGTTTTCACTCCCACATCCTGTGTAAAACTAACCCTTTCGTGGCACTTGATTCTCTTTAGTGCTTTTCACAGATCTTTGTATTTTTACTGTCTCAACATTTCTGTGACATAGTTATTATTACTATTTACATAGATATTATTATAACAAAAATTAATTTCATTTAAATTAAAAGTATTATAACCTGAACATGATAAAAGGTCAAATTGATAGACTATATAGTAAAAATTAAGTCTCCCTCTGACTTCTGATTCTCAGTTTCCCTTTTCTAGCTGTCTTTCTAGAGATTATCTTTACATAATCTATATATATGTTACCATGGCCATTTTCACGGATGAGATACCAAAGCTTAGCCTTTCCAGGGTGACACAGCTGAGAAGCAGAGAATCCAGGCCTTTGTCTCCATTCCCCCTGTTCCTCCCACCACACCACACTCTTTGGGAAGCTCCATGACATTAACTTTAAAGCTTTGTCCTCCCTGGATTGATATGGTGGAATTGTTTGAAGTTAGTCCAGGAACACATATGAAGCCTAATGTCCCTGGCAATACCCTCTACTGCTGCCCATTTTAGTCAACTGCTTAAAATCATACCTGCCTTCCTCCTTCCTGCCTTTGATAGGGCGAGATGTGTGGTCTGGGAACCAACTATGGATGAATGAGCTCCTGGCATCTTAGGCCTGGACCTGAGGAGTCCTGGCAGACCTCTTGCAGGGAGCCCAGAGAGGACTGGGTAGACACCACAGGGCACCCAGGATCCAGCTCGAGAACCTGGGCTGCTGAGGTGCCCACTCAGCACAGAGGGTCTCTCCATGCTCTTGCTCTATGCCTTCCCCTGAGACCCAGCATTGGCCGCTGGAGATGGAGGCAGGAATAGTTTGCTCCAATAGAATTGACTGTTCACCTCCCACCCCCACTCTTACCACACAGGCCCTGGCATACTTTCACACCTCCTTGGGGCTTCTATCATCACTTTTTCCTTGTTTTCCTCTTAATGGCAAATAATCTCTTTTTGTTCCACCTAGGTTTGTGGATACCGCCCGGCTGGGCTTCATGGAGAAATCTTCCCTGATCACCAATCTGAATCCCAGATCAGTCTCCATCTTTCCACGGACAGAATGAGAGGCCTTCTGTAACCAGACATAACTGGCCATCATGGGGAAACTGATCAGGATGGGGTCACAGGAGAGGCGGTTACTCCGGCCAAAGAGGCTTCATTGGAGTCGCTTCGTCTTCCTGCTGGGAATATTGATCATCAGTTCCACCTATCAGCACCTGAGAAGACCCCGGGGCCTCTCCTCACTGTGGACAGAAGTCTCTTTACAACAGCCTGTAAAACTAGCTAGCCGAGATCTCCCCAGTGATGAAATGATGATGGTGAGCAGTGATCCTCCAAAGGCTAGCCCTGTAACGGAGAGTGAGATGCTGGTACCCCAAGCCATGGTGGGCAGGGATGAAGGAACACCTAGTATAACGATGGAGAACGCCCCCAATATTCCCAGAGGGACAGCTGAGATTACCACAGCAACAATCAAAAATAATTACAGCCCAAAAGCTGTGGGTACAGAAAGAGTGAAGGAAAACACCCCAACCACATCTAGTAGAATATTGAATCACTACACCCCAACTTCAAGCAGACAAAAAGTAAAATATTATACCCCAATGCCCAGGGGAGAAATGAAGAGTCACAGCCCAACAAAGGGCAGGAGAAAGGTAAAGAAGTATACTCCATCCCCACCTGGTAGAATAGTAGACACTTATGCTCCATCTACACTCTTGGCAATGGAAACAAGCCACACAACCACTCCCAGTTCAACAGTGAAAGACAGTGAAACTACAGCAACCTATAAAATGCTAAAAACAAACTCTCCCAAGAGAATAGTGGAGGAAGCCACCCAAACTACTCTCAAGGGAATAGTTGGTAACACCCCAACGTCCCTGACACATGAGGTAGAAACAAACATCTTGACTTCTCCAAGGAATGCAGTGGAAAAGAGCACCCTGACTATCCCCAGAAGAGTGGAAAGTAACAGCTCAACCAGTCCCTGGAGGTTAGTGGGAAAGAGCAACCTGACAACTCCCCAGAGAACAATCTTGGAGCACACCCCAGCTGTCCCTGAGGGGCAAGTGACAGGCAGCAGCCCAGCAGAAACAAAAACCTCTACTACTGCCCAGAGTATTAAGAATCCCTTGCCCAGAACTAGCGCATCAACCATCAGAACAGCCCCAGCCACTGTCGGGAGGCTGGCAAAGAAAGCTCCCACAGTACCCAGCACCTCAGCAACCCTCAAGGTCAGGGCAGCTCCAACCACCCAGGTCCATCACTGTATGGTTGTGAAGCCAGCCCCCGCCATGCCCATCACCCCTTCCCTGAGCCTGACAACTGCCCTGCTCCCAGAAGTGCCCAGTCCCTCAGTGCTGCCTCCCAGCTGGTCAGACATCTACCCCAAGGCAGAGTACCCCCCGGATCTGTTCAGTGTGGAGGAGCGGCGGCAGGGCTGGGTAGTGCTGCACATCTTCGGCATGATGTACGTGTTTGTGGCCTTGGCCATTGTGTGCGACGAGTACTTTGTTCCAGCCCTGGGTGTCATCACAGACAAGCTGCAGATCTCAGAGGATGTGGCAGGTGCCACGTTCATGGCTGCTGGAGGCTCCGCCCCTGAACTCTTCACCTCTCTCATCGGTGTCTTCATTTCCCACAGCAACGTGGGCATCGGTACCATCGTGGGCTCTGCTGTATTCAACATCCTCTTTGTCATCGGTACTTGTGCCCTCTTCTCTCGGGAGATCCTCAACCTCACCTGGTGGCCCTTGTTCCGTGACGTCTCCTTCTACATCCTTGATCTGATGATGCTCATCGTCTTCTTCCTGGACAGCCTCATTGCCTGGTGGGAGAGCCTGCTGCTGCTGCTGGCCTATGGCCTCTATGTGTTTGCCATGAAGTGGAACAGGAAAATTGAGCGCTGGGTGAAGGAGCAGCTCAGCAGGAGGCCAGCAGCCAAGGTCATGGCCTTAGAGGACCTCAACAAGGTAAGGACAGGCTCACTCAGGCTTCTGTAGCCCCTTTGGGGTAAGAGGATGGGCGGAAACCAGGGAGTGAAGAGTAGGAGGTGCTGGGTCAGACCTTAAAAGATTTATACTCTGGTTCCCTCGATATTTATTCAGCATTTATAGGGTGTCTGTTCTCTGCCAGGCATTATGCTGGGGCCTTTGCAAGTGTGACATTGGCTCAACCCCAGTCATGCTATCTGCTGGTTATTATTGTGACCCCTGTTTTCAGGAGAGGAAACTGAAGCCTAACAAAGATAAACCACTTGTTCAAGGTCACACAGCAAATAGGCAGTGGGACCAGGATATGAACTTGGGTTGGTCTGAGTAGGTCTTTGGAAATGACATTTGAGCTGGGCTTTGGAGAATGTCCAAGGAGATACCAGGCAGGGAAAAATGATAATCTCTTCCATGTGCGTGGTGTTCAGGGCTTATCTAGCACCCTCACTTTCATTTAATCCTGTTTGTTCACATTATAGACTTAGAGGGGCTGGGGGCTTGGATGGGGTGTGAGAAGGGGGAGGGGTTTGTTTTTGTTTTGTTTTTAAAACATTAGAGAGGATGGGAGCTCCACCCACCCACTGACAAGCTCATCTGGGGACAGAGCCCCCTCTCTGTGCCTACTAGAGACCAGAGTCAAGATGCCAGGAACACCAATCCTGGCCCTTTCTCCCACCCCAGAAGTTCCTTTCCAAAAACTTCTCTGCCCCCTTGGAGGGACCATCCTGCTAAATTAATTGGATGATTCAATAACCTGAGAGATGCAATTACACTGGGCAAATGATCACTAAAAATTAATTCCGAAGTTTTTTGTTCCTTGAGACTCTAAAGTGAGGGTACCTTACAGAGCACAGACCCCATTTCTCTCTTGCTCCTGGTGAGTTTGGATGAGGGTTGGCTCACCATTTGCTAGTTCCATATCTTAGAGAAGCCGCTAGTGCAGGCAGAATTTTGTGTACAAAGAGTGGAAGGACTTAGCTACTTAATCCAGAGCAGTTTTGATGAGTGGGCAGGATGGAGACCAAACTCAGCAACATGTCTGCCAGACACACCAGGCAAGGGCACTTAAATGCACTTCCTTTAGTAACTTGTGGTAACACGGCATTCTGGCCAGAGCGCAGAACTGAGAACCAGGAAATCTGAGTTCTGCTCCAATTCTGCCTCTGATGAATGGTGTGACCTTAGACAGGTCCCTTCCCCTCCCCTAGGGAAATGACAGAGTCCAGCTAATCACCAAAATGTCCAGTCTAACTTTAACATTCTGTGATAATGTCCTGTATCCAAGTGCATTCAGTTCTGGCAGAACCTAGTACAATGGTTATTTGTCCAGTCTGATCAACCAATCTCCTATTGTCTCATTTGCTGATGGTCCAAAAAAGGACAAATGCCCTGCCCAGGGTCATACAGCCAGCAGGTGGCAGAGCTGGAATGGGAACTCTTACCTCCTCATTCAGTGCTATTTTCTACCAGATTACTGTCCCACATAGCCACAGGTTTACCAAAGAAAGGGCAGCTCAGAGCATTATGTAATTTAATCTGAGGATGCAGGAGCCCCACACTCCCAGTGAAGTTCTCAGGGCAGGCCTTGCTAAGGGCTGGCCATGAAGTCCTGGTATTCTCAGAGGCAAGCACCTGATGTCTTGGGGTTTTCAAAATGCCTCTGACTTGCCTTCCAACTAATTCTGCTTTTATCTAAACTCTGTAAGTTCTGAACTTTCCATTTCCTCAGAGACAGACCATCAAAGCAAAGCTTGCCAAGCTAATGAAGCATAATCATGATTTCGAAAGAGAATTTGTAACCTACTTAGAGACTCTTCAAGGGCTTTAGCAGCAGTTCTTTGCCAGCCAGTAAGCACAGCACTAATTATAACTCTGTTCTTATCTATTTGTTGGAACAGATCCGGTATTACTTTTAATTGACAGCATTGGTAAATCTTTATTTAAAATTAAAAACTTGTAGTCAGAACTTTCTATCACTAATAACTGCCTCCTAAAAATTAGTTCAGATAACTCAAGAACCACAGCTTTTTAACAATAGTTGTTGTTGTTTTTGTAGTTTTTGGCCGGAGCTGGGTTTGAACCCGCCACCTCTGGCATATGGGGCTGGCACTCTACTCCTTTGAGCCATAGGTGCTACCCCTAACAATAGTTTTTAAACACATGTGCATTTAGAGTTTCACCTCAAGGTGCTTGTAGTCAGAGAGGGAATCTACTTTTGCTTGTAGCTTTATGTTCCTGCTTGTCTGGCCAAGTCCAGTGATCTTGTTAGCAGGAAATAAATTATCCTGCACCTTACCAACAGACTGAGGACAAGCTATTCTGTTTTGAATTCATGAAGCTATTTTTTGAGAATTCAGTCTTTGATCTGGTAAACCATACAGGTATTTATGCTTTTGTGACTTAATGCCTTTACTCACCCTGTGAAATATTTGACCTTCACTCTGACTGTGAAAGTAAACATACCTGGTTCATACACTCACACTGACTGCTTCATGCCTCTCCCTGACTAATAGGTGCCCTCTTTGAGCATCACCTCAGGAATGCAGGGGTCCAGGAAATTTGGCTTATTAGTCAGCCATAGCTCCAAAGTTGAGGAAGTCAGACAAAAGGTGGGCAAGGCCAGACAGAGTGGTTGGGAGCCAAGGAGCAGGGCTGAGAGGCAAAGGCATAGCCACAGCAGCTCAGGAAGTCTAAACAGAGAAGCAGTGTGCAGGGAAGTGTGAGCCAGCTACTTCTCAGTGAGAGATAAGAAAGATAGCTGAGCCTACCTTGTTCTCTATTGCCAACCTGGGGGAGGTGCAGGGGTGGCCATGTCAGGCTCATCGTTGCAACTAAGTGCAGTTGCAAAGATACAAACAATCTTTGTACCTCCTAAAGGGCTGAGCCCAGTGTCTTGTTCTTAGGAGTTCCATAAATATTTGGGTTAGTTTCTTCCAGGAACCTTAACAGCTCAGGCATTCCAGTTTGTCAAGATAAAGGAGTTGGGGAGGGAATCCATGCTAGCTTATGGAGAGCCTGTTATATATACACGTGTACACATATAGAGAGTGCCAAAAATACGTATACACATTTTAAGAAAGGAAAAATCTATATTAAAATCGTAATACTTAAGTCACTTATGACTTCTGCAATTTCAAGAGATACAAGATACTACATTTAAGATAACAAACAATATCAGTTGACATCAACTATTAGAATTTTAATACAATTTTTTCTTTCTTAAAATGTGTATACCTTTTTTAGCACCCACTGCTGACTATCCCTGTTACCCTGGACTGGGTAAGTCAGTGCAGCTCAACAAATCAGTGTTATTAAGTACTTAAACAAAAAACAGTATGAGAAATAAAGAGGTTGCATCCCGTCCAGTGGAAGGGACAAGCGTAGAGAAAATTAACTACAATGCAGAGAACCCCGTGCAAAATGCTTCCAAGTCACTTTGCTTTTCAAACAGGCCTTAGATTTCTTATTTGTAACACTGAGTGGGATGGATTAGTGCAGAGGGAGACAAACGTTTTTTGTAAAGGGCCAAACAATAAATATTTTAGACTTTGTTACCCATACCATCTCTGTCACAACTACTCAATTCTGTCCTTGTAGTGTGAAAACAGCTACATAGTGGGAATGGCCATGTGGCATTTTACTAAAAGCAAGAGATTCCCAGGTATTTTCCTACCTGAACAATTTGGAGACATACAATCAGCAGAGAACCATCACTTTCTTACTGAATATTCACCCCGCTGATAGCTGTTGAGTTTCTGAGCTGAAGGACCTTTCCCTTTACTTTTTATTCTGCTCTGAGTATCTAGAATCAGAATGAAGGTTTTTGGGGAGGGTTTATAATCAGAATTCATGTAAGAGTATTTTCAGAAAGAAATAAAAAACTTAGTATCGGACATAGACACATAGTGAGTATTTTAGAGCAAGGATGTCTGACCTTATTTTTCTCTGTTGCACATTGGATGAAGAATTGTCTTGGCCCACATATTAAATATGCAAACACTAACAAAAACTGATTAGCAAAAAAAAGAAAATATGATCATAATTTTCACAATATCTGACACCACAGATAAGCAAACAATCGGCATGTGGCCTGTGAGCACAAGTTGGACACTGCTGTTTTAGAGTCTCTCTTTTGATATTGGCTGAAAAAAACAAAGCTAAAATTCAAACAACATTGTCAAATTGACATATTTGAGAACGCCTTTTATGACCTCAATGAGGAAATGCCAAATGTTTGTATGGTTATCATCGAGTCTAACTTAGCTCTCTCTCTGACACTTCATACCTGTTTTTTTTGGCCAAAATTGATAAATCTTTCACCTGCCTCGACCATTTCTGTGTCTATTCCACAGAAAGCCAACTGAGAGCAGAGTAGAGGTGCTAGGCTGGCTGAAAAGCCTTATTGGTATTGAAGGACAATGAGGCTCTTCTTTCTACAGGACAAGATTAGCCAGGAAAGATCAGCCACCTGCGGGAGGTATGCGATTGGCAAGACAGCCCTGTGGAAAGCCATCAGCAAAAAGGAATACAAAGCAGAGACCAAGCCTAGTGGGGCCCCCTTCGGAAGTCCCCATGCCCACATTCTGCTCCCAAGAATACCTCAGAATGTGACACTCTGGGCAAAGTCTGTCATTCTGCACGAGGGGCTGTTTCTTCTTGGCAAGATTTTTCATTAAACCAACCAGCAAGACCTCAAGCAGACAAGTCTGGTGCCTCCTTGGGGGCTGCTCCTCCCCTTTGTTGTCAGGGTTGACATTTATCCCAGGGGCTCCTATCAATGGCCTGTACAGCCGTCTGTCTGCATGGACACAGGGGGCTGTAGGCAGGAAGAAGCCACCAAGGCCCCTTCTGCTTTGTGGCCCCCATCCATACTAGGCTCTAAGGAACCCACTGTGCTCCCAAAGAGCCATCCTAGCCTGAGCTGAACCGTTCTACCTTCAGCTCCTTGCATAATAGTCAGCTTTCCCCCAGTTTCAGGAAAA